CAAACATCTTAAGTTATCCGCTAGAAACGAATTCTCCATAAATGTACTTCATAAAACAACTAACGGATAAAATAAGGAAATCTCATTAATCAAATCTCTGAAAATCATTCAGCTTCTATTACAGTGTGTAATTTCAATCAACTCAGCAAGAAACTAACGCCTGGCCGCAAGAACTCCGAATGATTCATTGGGTAGCCGAACGTAATTACTCCCCAATGCGGCATCCTCGGCGATGTAATTAAAGCAGTTTTATAAAAAAAAAAACATACTTTCTTACTATTAAAGAATGCGATCTAGAACACGGGTTATATGTAGGTAGTTAAACAACTAAATTTCAAAAACTTAATTTTTGTTTACCCTGTTGACGATGGTAGGCATAGCGGCGGTTAGACTGCCATTGATGAGGAGCACAGCCGTGACAACGAATTTGTCTCCGAAACGCGCCAAGTGCAGCTCGGCGGGTAGCAGAGCCAGCGCGTGCCCGCACAGGAAAGACCACAGCACCGCGCCCTGCACGCCCGTGTCCCACTCCTGGGTCTACATATACACACATATAACCGTAAAGATGAAATTAACTAAAATTTCAATGAATAGACGTGGTTAACTAATAAGGATAATGTAATGAGTAATAGTACTTGAACATAAGAGTCGTTGCGTTGCGAGACATCTGTCATGGTAAGTAGCGCAACGCCGGCGCTGGAGCGCAACGCGCCCATTGCTACCGCACATAGCACCATGTACGCCACCTGCACGTGCCGCACGCCCACCTGACACTCTGCATAAATACAATGCGTTTGTGAATGATGACTATTACCATTTGAGAAATCTAAAAATATGAAGATAAATGTGGGTTTTAGATCATCGTGATCATCCGCCCCCTGTAAAGGCAAAGCCTAAACGGATCAAAGTGGTGGCTTAACGCAAGTGCGGATCCTACGGCGCCATGGTGGGTCACATAGTCGTGGTCAAGTCAAGAGTTTGACAAAATGTGTAAATATGTATTTTTTATATAATAAAAGGGGGCAAACAAGCGGCGAGAATACCAAGGTGGGCAACGACGCCCAACGTTTTGTCAAGCTCTTGACCAACCAGCTCAGGGGAGGGTCATGACCCCGATGATCCGCCGTTGACTTAACGATTAGCAAGGGATTAGAGACCTAGCGTTACGTTAAGCGTGTTTCTAATTAGATACGGTTTCATCCGACGTCCTGCTGCAATTTTTGTGGAGAACAAAAGCGATGGCACTGATACGGACATTAATGGCTGTGAATGCCTGTATACACACCATAGCGAACAGGGCGGTGTTCAATCCATATAACTTATTACATTTACTCGTATATCACCACATTCTATAATTTACACGTTCTTCTCTTATGATAACTTGCTCTTAATATTGAATTATGTTCTTATAACTTACTACTTTTAGTGATAACTCCATCGTATCCATCTTGAAATTTGTATTTCATAAACTCCAAGTCCATGTTTTGTTTGCATCACAACACAACATTCAACGTTCCGCAGTCCGCCTCACAGACGCTATCTTTATTTTTATAATCAAAAGCAAATGACTCTGTCGTCGTCATTTCAGTGAGCGTTATCATTAGTTATCGTGAAGACAGTCGTTTTACAATTATGTTATCCTAGTGTACATTTGTTATATTTGCAATGTCAACCTTCTCATCTAAATACGTGGCGTTTGTTTAGACATTATTAAGGCTTGCTGTTGTTTTCAACAATATTAGACCTTGTCAAGTTTCACATTGACACTAACAACAGTATAATTGTAGAACGCGTCGTGTAAAAGGTATAGTATAGGATATCAAATATCTGTACATACTTTTGGGTAATTCATTTTCAGCGGTAACTTGTGTTTGTGTGCTTTTGAAAAGTTTTACTGTAAACTGTACATCAACGTCTTCGCTACTGAACAATAACTATATGAATTATCTGATATTTTCGCGTATTGGCTTTTTACAACAAACTTCAGGTCGAATTATAACTTTATCTGCCGTACCCCATGGAATTGGTTCGAATGTTTTGGTACTTAGGACATATTACACAATTTGCAAATAACAACTAAAATAGTTTATAAAAATTTATTTGAACATTTTCAATATACCACTATAGTACGAGTACACCTTATACTGTCTTCGAATCATTTGATATAAACAAATGATTGCCTGCGGTTCACGGTCATATGGATTTAGCAATATTCTGTAGTGTGTGGACTTGGTTGACCTTTTTCCTCTGTTTTTGCTATTCATTTATATTTTGTAGTAGGTCCGTCGTTCCTTCGCGAGGGTCCGAAGTCTTTTGCACACTTTTGGCAGAGTAATGTCTTTAGTGCTTTTTGGCCTCTTCTGCTTTTAATATCGCAGAGCTTGTTAAAGCAGGAGCTACTTCCTCTGTGAATAATACATAATAATATACCTTTAATTTTTTCTGAGCAAGAGTTTTATGTAAAAGAAGGTTATGTCAATTGTGTTAAAATACCTGGGTCAGCAGACTTCCTATCTTCAAAGTCGGGGTCATCCCACGACTGGCACTTTGCCGATGCGAATATCATGTACATAATGTTGGTCAGGATTAGCAGAGACGATATTATTAAGAAACATATGCGCCATCGGCTTAGATCCGTCTGGAATAAAAAATAAGCTAAACAAACCAAAGCACATTTAAAAAAGATATAACGCTCTCTTAGAAAGCTATATTTATATAGATTTAAAAATGGGTAAATCACGGGATCATTAGGTACTTACGGGATCGTTGTTTAAAATAAAGCTGGTGATCAGAGGAGTGCCCACACTTCCGAAGTTAGCGATGAAGTTGGTCAGAGAGAGCATCACGCCCGCGAAATTCGGCGACATATCCAAGTGGCTCATCTAATAAAGGTGTAATTCCATTTAGATCATGGAAAATTTAAACATGACATTTGTCCTGGGATAATTCAATATATTACCATGAACCCAGCAGCGGAGAAACCATAGAGCGTAAGAGTGGCCACAAGCACCGCGACGGCCAAATTCTCATGCTCCTTGCTAATGAAGGATAATACCGCTAGACCCACGGCCATACCGAAGCAGGCTGTGAACATTAATTACATCATATAGTAAGTAGAGCGTACTTAGAAGAAACTAGAAAGTACTAAGGAACCTCACCGTGACTGCAGCTGAATTGTAACATCTTTGCTCTTTACTTTACATTTTATACGATTAGCAAGCAAGGACTCACCAATAGAATTGAAGAGCTTCCTGCAGGTGCCGACGGAGAGCAGGCCGCGGTTAAATATCTTCTCCGAGACCGAAGTGGACACAATGTTGCCCAGCCACATGCCCGCGTACGGCAGTGCTGACAGCGACGCGCTCTGGAAATCAACAAATACTTAATATACAAATAACTACATACTTCCAATAAAGGTTCTCATAAAATTTGTTATTATCAAAATATTAACGTTCGGTCAAAAAAACGGAGTGCATAGATTGCAATCAAAATACTGTATTACGTATTAAATTAAAAAAAAAACTGTATTACGATCGAAATACAGTTACCAATGGTATATCTACCAAGGTTTCTCTGCATTTACTGCTATTTCAATAAATGTTTTCGCATGAGTCACTTGTTATTTTTGTGTTACTTATTTAAGAAGCACGTATGGGTTGAATTTGGAATCATTTTAAGAGATTGCGTTAAAATTCTTACATTCTTTAACGATATGTGCAATCCTTTCTCCAAGTAAGTGGGCATGTCGACAAAGAAAAGTACGTAGCTGCAGGTGAAACCGATGTGCGTGATGGCGACTGCCCAGAGGCCGCGCGAGCGCAGGATATGACGCCACGGCGTGCGAAGCACCTGCAAACACACACACATATACTCACACACACAGGAAACGTTTAAACCATTAAAAATGACAAAGCTAACATTAGTCAAAATAACCGAGGGACACGAGATACAATCATAGAAACTATTTAGTAGTCGTAAATGATGACTTTCTTTAGTTGAAAAATATGAGATAGCTAGACGCTTAAAACATATTTTAAATTTGAGTAATAACCTAGAGTATTAATTTTAAAGTAAGATTAGTCAGATACTCTTTTCTTCAATTGAATCCTATGTACTCGTATAGTAGGACTAACTAAGCTCACTAAACGAGAGGACCAGAGATTCGAAACTTTTCGTCTAATTGGAAAATAGAGATGTGGCGCCGAGAGCCGAGCCCGACCTGACTGCATACCGTTTTCAATTAAGAGCGGTTTGCAGCGGCGCCCTCCTTCAGGGCAATTTATGTTCGGTGCAATTCCAATTGTAACTGCAGAACAGGCTTATAACCACACTAATATTTTATCGCAAACATTGTAAGTCTTCTGTGTGCTTGCACGTATATTGTATCACTTTTACATTTTACAGCAGTAATACTTTTATTTTGTGAGGTTCACCTTTCCCCCTGACGTGTGCAGACCCCTCTCGATGTATTGTCGCTCCACCTCCGTCATAA